TGTCCTATCCAATAAAGCCATGAAAAAATAACTTAAAAAAGGGTCAGGTTAATTCTCCATTCAGTGTCCTTCACCCGGGTGCCACATAGTCGTTTCCCACTGCTCCTACTTAGGATGGGTCAAATGCAGAGGATGAATTTTCCTACAGAATTATTAAAGGATAACTTAACTGTAATCATAATCCGAATTGACGGGCCCTTGGCGGGGCCTAAACTGGCGAGGATGCTGCTTAAACTGGAAGTAGAGGGGATTGACCATCAGCTGTTAATTTAAAACTGAAATTGATATGGGCTGATAAGAAGTTGCTATATTTATTAGAAACCTATTTATAGAACAGCCTCTGAACTGAGCTTCAGAGTAATAGAAAACTATTTACAGAACAGAAGTTGCTATTTTTGTTGTAGTACGGATATTGACACATTTTACTCTGATGATACTCGTACTCGTACTTGTACTTGTACAGTCGAGTACTCACTCAACCCTAATTGTCACTGTGAGCATGTTTGCATGCTAATGTTAACATTTAGCTTAAAACACCACAGTGTCTCAGTAAACCTTAACAGCTCATAGAACATTGTGCCTAATATTGTGACTTAATATTGTATTGTCATCTTGTTTCCTCTCCCCAGGTTGGGAACCACTGACCTAAAACATATTTAAGATATACTCTTCTAAGACATTTTATTTTTCTGACATACATGCACTTTACCGACTCAAATTTGAACAAAATCACTAAATATTCTTCAAGGAACTAATAGTGACAAACAACATCAACCACTTGGAACATGCCGGTAGAGCAAAGAGCCAATCACGATATGCTTTTGCTGAAGATTCAAGACTCCAAAGTCTTGTTGAAAGCTTTTTGACAAGACTCAGCCAGCCTGTCTGAGGGGAATTCAACAAGGATCAATGAATAACTACAACACTTTCATATTTGCCGGTCCATTGTTTCGTTAATGTCAATGATATCAGACTTCAAAGACAAGGCTCTTCACAGGGATGATGGGATGAGGTGACCCCCCCGTTACTGGCAGTAGCAGGGAGATCCTTCTAATACACCTTTCTCACCAGTTTTGATTAAAAGGTTCAAGCCAGGTAAGGAAATAAATAAATAAAGCAGGGTAATGTTGTATTCACAAAGACAAGGCAGGACTTTGATCTTGCTCAGGGACGACCAGTAAGCTGAAAGCCGGAGACAGAGTGTGTGTGTGTGCGTGTGTGTGTGTGTGTATGCTTAAGTATATGTATGCACATATGTGTGTTTGTGTGAACAGGCAAGACGAAGTAGGATAGAAAATGAGAATGAAAGGGAGAGATCTCATTAATATTGTCCTTTTGTTCCACTGCGACTTGGAGCACACCAAAAAAAGGCTAATGGCAAAACATTCCCACCCTGTTAAGGTGACATTGTAGAAACTGTGGTACGAAGTATTTTCTCAGCCAAATTCCCACTCAGCAAATCAACTTCATGGATTAATGTTAGCTTGCAGGTATGCCACCTGCACAGGTATCAAGGTAAAAAAAAAAGAAGAAGACGCCTGAATCCGGTTAGAGATACTTGACACGCTGGAGGGAAAAACGTGAGTAGGGGAAAAAAAAGACGCTTTGATCCACTTGAAAGTGTAGTCTATTATGCTTGGTTGATAATGCATACAGTGCCCATCTAGCTGCCAACCACAGTGGGGCATTTGAAGTAATCTGATAAAGCTGGGGAAGACTGACTGCCAGTGCACTCTCCTCTGTCAAAGAGGACTAATCCCATTTTCTGCTGTTTCACTGTCAATCGCTATTCCACTTATCTGGTCTCCTTCTAATTGACAAGCCTCGTAACCTCAGGGCTGTAAAAGGAGTGAGAGCAGCAACAATGAAAACCAAGTTGTATGTCTTTCTCATGTGGAAATGTATTACGGTGGTTTAATCAATCAACCAATTAACCCTAGCGTGTCATACCAAGACAAAAGCCTGCATAAAAACATTAAAAGAATTAGTTTGGACTTTGGCCCATATGTCCACAGGTTAGTGTAACGCTGTGATCACTTTCCTCACTGTTAAGATGAGACAGGAGTTCTCTTCTGGAAACAGCTACAACAGAGCCCAGTGAGGCAAAAAACAAGCCTCAGCAGACTTGTTAACACTTCAACCCAAACTTAATCAGCAAAGCAATTATTCGGAGGGGTAAACAAACATAAACATAAAAGGTAGCAGCCCAATTTGCATTGCATTATGAAGTGATACAGAGGGTCCAAAGTGACAAAAAAAAATTTTGATGTTAAAACTATTTCCAGCAGTGTGTCTATGAAGTACAGTACAATCTGTGGTCAACCTACAGATAAGTTGTCCAAATGAGACAAGGACAGAGACATGAAAGAGATATGTTAGAGCAGCAATAGTTAACTCTGACTGGTCTCATTATTTATTTACAGTCCAAAAGAGCACTGCAATATTATTTGCAATATATTAAGATCGCTTTATTGTCCTGGTTTCCTTTCTGTCATCCACAACCCCCCCAGAAAACTGTTCATGCAGTCATGGCCGGATTAAGCCACTAGTGGGCCCTGGCACACCCACACACCTATTCCCCAACTAATTTTGCCTGGAGCCCCAGGAACCAATTAGTATTCCTTTACTGGAATACTAACATGCCGCAGGTTTACTGTAAGCTAGTTTGAGAAAAAAGAAATTTGACCATGTATGCTTAATAAAAACTGGGGTATTCTGTCTCTTGATGGTCTGGGGCCCTGGGGTAGTTGTTGGCATTTCCTGGTTGGTAATCCAGCCTTTCCTAATATCCATACAGCTCACAAAATTGAGACAAAATAAATTATGAAGTACTGGAATTTTCCTTTTTGGGATTAAGCAGGGACATTCAAAAATATGTTAGAGAACTGTAATATTTTACTTCAACGTCATAAAAGACAAGTCTATGATATTATAGTGAAAGCAACCCTAAAAGAGTCACAGTCTGTCAATCCAGGGAACCAGGGAGGGAGTTTGGGTGTCCCACTTTATTGATTTTAATTCCATTAATACCTTATGACTGGCTGCTTGGCAGACTCTCCCAGGCCAGTGCCCATGCACGTCTGTTTCCATAGTGGATTTGATTGGACTTCCTTATCGGCTGGCAGCAGGCAGGAAAAAGGGGCCTACACAGGCCAAAGATCCACCGCCCTGGCTGCCAGGCTGCATGTTTGAAACAACAAGCTTCAGATCAGAAATGATTAGTGTAGGCTGCCAACCCAACCGCTCCATGTATGAGCACTGTATGAGATCACTTCTCTGTGTGTGTGTGAGAGAGAGAGAGAGAGAGAGAGAGAGAGACAGAGTGTGTGTGTGTGTGTGTGAGAGAGAGAGAGAGAGAGCGAGAGAGAGAGAGAGAGAGAGAGTGTGTGTGTGTGTGTGTGTGTGTGTG